CTCTTCTCGATCCAGTGGAGTACAGAATTCACTAGACCCACTAAATCGACCGCCGATGCATCGATCACCACTCGTAGATCCCCCAGTAAATGTAGAGAAGCCCTCATTCTGGTAGAAGTGGGGCCTGTTCTCAGTTTAGCTGATATCACCTTGGAAGACAATTAAGCTATAAGAAACCCACTTTTAGTCTGGGATAAGAGGGGTGAGACCAGCTGCCTCCACCTCTCTCTCTCCTCCCCCTACACCTCTCAGGAGCTCTCCCCTCAGCACTCAGGAGGAGCCATTCTCTAGAACAGGGTTTATCAACCTTTTTGATACCAGGGCACAGGCAGATTAAGATTTATTGGGGTCCTGGGCACACAACTGGGGAGCAGAGTGTGGTCCCAGAAAAGTAGTTGTGCTCTGGTGAGACTGAGCAGGTGTGGGGATTGGGCAAACTGTGGTGTTTATATGCATTTATAAACTTTAATATAGCCCTCATTTTAAAATCACCCATGGCCTGGGAATATAACAGAAACTCTTTGAAAGTGGGTGTGTCCTTCATAATCCTCAAAATGACTGACTCCAATATTCCATTATCAGAGGGAGTATAGCTCAGTGGCAGAGCATTTGACTGCAGATCAAGAGGTCTCTAGTTCAAATCCAGGTGCTCCCTTAACAGTTTTTATTAAATTAAAATATATTTTTATATCCATCTCCAGTATGTTCAGGAGTTCCACTGAATGGGTATGTTTGAAAGGAATTTAAACACTCAACATTTTCCCTGTTCAAATGTATAAAAACTTAGCACACCCATCCATCAGCTGAAATCAGTTCCAATCCTCTGAGTCTGTAGTTTATGTTTTCTTACCAAATGCAATCCAAATTAGTCCATTCCTCCCCGTATTCAATCTGTGACCAAATGTTAGAATGAGGCAGAGTACTGTGAAAGTACCATACTCCAAATAAAGTAAAAGCGAGGATTAATCAAAGCTGAGATGCAGACACAGTCTATTGTACAGCTGGTAAAATAACTACCTGTTACAGATTCAAACCTTTCTTTGTGCACAAAACATGAATTGGGGCTCTAATAAATGGCAACCTTCCTTTAACACAGATCATTGTTTTTTGTAACTTTCAGATGCATTCATATGGCAGCTATTTAGAGGCAACGTGCTTCTATTTCATGATCAGCAGCAGAGTCTCTGTAAGTTTACCGAGCATAGAGCTGGGTGTGTCTGCATCTAACTAACTGCAGGGTTAGTATAATACCAGATAGTTAATTGAACAGTCTTACTTCTCTAGTCTCACTTTTTGGTCTCATTGAACACTTGGTGGAAAAGGCTAGGGATTTCCCCCCCTTTATTTTCTCCTAAGGACTGTGTGATCTTGGGCATGTTACTTTAACTTCCCTATGGGTCAGGAAAATACCATCTCTTTGAAGTGTGTGGGGAAGTGAGCTGTTTGGATAACCAATTAATTACTAAAGAAACAAACTCTTGGGAAGTAGCTGTAATTTGTCCCCAAACCTTTCTTTGTTTGCATATGCTATCATGGAATCTCTCCAAGAGGGCAGAGTTAAGGTTATCTGGGCATGTACCTTCAGTCTCTATTCCCTGCATTTCCAGAGTTTGAATTTTGCTGAACTCAATGTTCTGGATGTGTACGAGATACCTCTGGGGGAACCTTAACTCTGTGTTAACAAAGCCTATTGTTAGTGACAAATAATGAGACTAATCGCTCACTGCTGTAATTCCACTGACTCCAGTGTTCTTGTTCCCCATTTCTGGTTCCAAGAAAATAAGGACATTAAAACAGCCTTCAGAACTAACATGCTGTGAGAAAGTGGAAGTGTTGGTAGCTCAAATAATTCAGTGTATTCTGTGTGAGTGTGTGTTTGCATGGGCACGTGCATGTAAAAAGCACAAAACATTAATTTATAACATCTTTCTTAACTCTTTTAAATATCATGTAGTACATTAACTATATCAAGTGGATTGTTCAATGCAATGACAGTTTTTATGCATTGCCCAGAACATATTTTTAGAATTATTTAAATTATTTAACTCATCTCGTTGAACATAAAGGTGTTTACTATATTCTGTTAAGTGTGTTGATAGCTCAAATAATTAAGTTATTTTCCCTGTGTGGGTGTGAGGCACAACACATTAATTTAGTAATGCTGAAAATGTTCCCTTCTCCCTCCAGAACTGCTTTGGGATCACCTTCCCTTTGTAGTTTAATCTACTCCTGTGTCTGTATGACGAAAATATTGTTTCTATGAAAAGAACATTGTTTATTTAAAAGGACTGACACCGAATGGCCACACGATGGAGCCACAGCATCAGGAATGCAAAGCACATTGATTATGACAAGGGATTGAACTCAGCTCCCCTCTGGCCACAGATAGATTTGTTTATTTCTCTGAGAGCCAAACATAAGCTTAAAGAAATGTCTAGAGCTGATGAAAGGGGACTTTGGGATTGATTTCACTTGTAACAAACACAGTGTTTGTTGGTATAAATAGCACAGGGGCTGGCCAGAGAATGGAGACAGAGTCCCTGACTTGCCTGGTAGCAAAGCCTGGCTTCCCAGCTACAATTGGACATGCCGCACATCTGCAGTGCTGGTGTAAGTAGCCCAGCCTGGCCCTTTTGGGGTTTTGTGCCTGGCACAGGGCTGCTGGTAGAAGTGCTGATGCCATGAATGGCTGCACAGTGCTGTGGCATGATGCCCACATACCCTACGGCAGGGTCATTCTATCCCCCAGCTCAGATGCAAGAACAGGAGTTAGTTTCACACGCCTTTTCTTCAGGCTGTGATCTGGGGCACCCTGCTCTGCGGGAGGGATCCCGGCAGCTCAGACTCAGGGCTGGAACAGGCCCCTGATTTAGGCAGTGGCCGCAGGGTTTCCAACACTCTGATGCCTCAGACAATCTCTCTCTCCCAAGGCCTCAGGCCCGTGGCCCCAGGGAAGGCTCCTGCAATGCCTCTGCTCCTTTCACACTCTACAGAGAGGAGCAGAAGCCAAGACTAGAGCTAAGCCATGGGCATGGGGTGCTAAGCAGGTGCCCGGAGTGTTTGCCCCTCCTGGGCATTTTGCCAGAAACATTAGGGGCACAGTGTGAGGCAGGATCCCAGGCCAGGACCCAGAGCTGGGGCAGATTCTCTCCCCAGAGAAAGGGGCCGAATGGGAAATGAAGCTCCGGGCCTTGGTACCAACATGAACAAATGCCCCCTCATAGTCCATAGAAACCTGGATCCTACCCTGAATCCTACTGCTGCTCCCACTGCCCACAGCTCAGATCCCCCCTCAGGGTTAAACACATTGTGACATTCTCTGGCCTGAAAAATAGCTGTGTCCCCTCAGTACTCCAACCTGGGATGCCTTTTACACTGCCTCGCTGTGAGTGGTACCACTCACACCCAGCCTCCAGCGTGTGGAGAACGTAAATAAGGAAGTGTTATTTACTCCTTCTCATAACCCAAGAACTAGGGGGCAGCAACTGAAATTAATAGGCAGCAGGTTTAAAACAAACAAAAGGAAGTATTTTTTCACACAATGCACAGTCAACCTGTGGAACTCCTTGCCAGAGGATGTTGTGAAGGCCAAGACTATAACAGGGTTAAAAAAAGAACTAGATAAATTTATGGAGGATAGGTCCATCAATGGCTATTAGCCAGGATGAGCAGGTATGGTGTCCCTAACCTCTTTTTGCCAGAAGCTGGGAATGGGTGACGAGATGGATCACTTGATGATGACCTGTTTTGTTCATTCCCTCTGGGGCACCTGCCATTGGCCACTGTCAGAAGACAGGACACTGGGCTAGATGGACCTTTGGTCTCACCCAGTATGCCCGTTCTTATGTAAGTCAGCCCCAGTTATGCTATCTGAGTGCTATGGCCAGCCACTCTGAATCACACTGCAGGGCGACAGAAGCAAGTTTCCAGTCCCAGACTTTTCCCCAGAAATGCGTGTTTTATACTGCCCAGCACTCTGCTGGATAGTACAAGCTCATATAAAGTCTGTCATTGATTAATATAAAATGAGATGTGCAGCACTGTTATCCCACATGGAGTTTCCCACACACTTTAATCCAAACACACTGGTCTAGATAAAACAATAAAACAAGTGTATTAACTACAGAAAGACAGATTTTTAAGTGACTACAAGTAATGAGGTATAAAAGTCCAAATTGGTTACAAAGCTATAAAAGGTAAAACACAGGTAACACCTAACTCAACAAACTGAGTGAATTCAAGGCATATGCTGACACAGTTTTACCGGTTGAGTCAGTGTTCAGGGAGGCTCTCCCCCTCAGTCCTTGCTCCTTCCTTTGTTCTTCAGATGTTCATGATGTTGTGGGTAGAGAGAAAAGGAGGGAGACCATGTGCTGCGTTTTGCTTTCTTCTTTTATAGACCCCTTTCTTGTGCAAGAGTCATCTCCAGACAAAAAGTCTGTTTGGGAAGGAACTTCAAGCTGCTTCTTTGTCAAGATGCAGATTTTTGCTCACACCCTCTTTCCTGCTGATGAATGGCCACTTAATCAGGTGATGGTCCATTTGATCTTTTTGTCACCTGGCTGGGGCATTGGCTAGCCTTTTATCTCTGGAGAACTGTTTGTAGAATACTATAACTTTACATACAATGTTGCCATACATATTTTACCAGGACAATAATGATCAGCCAATTATGAGCTTTTAAATGATACCTCATAAGGCGTACTTTGTAGAAACTTTGACATAGTCCAGTAAACGGGTGAACATAGGGGTACAGACTGGGACGCACACTCCCTGGAGTCACCCTGGGCCCACTAACTGCCCCTACCCCCACTTACCAGTGACATCTCCTAGAGGTGACTCCTTCCCAGCCCAACATGCAGGGGAGCAGTCAGATGGCTGGGGTGGAGGGGAGAGCTTTCTCCTTTGGCCCTTGCAGATGGGAGTTGGGGATCAGTCACATCTAGGTCCAGAGTCACCATTGCCACTTCCAGGAGCTCCCATTGGCTGGGAATGGCGAACCGTGGCCACAGGGAGCTGAGGGGCTCCATGCCTGCAGATGCTCCAGGTAAACAAAATGACAATGTATTAGAGATTCAATTCAATGATTCCATAGAGTTTAAAATCATCAAATTTTGGTGTAGACCTGTTTATAAGCCGACCCCCACTCTTTGATGCGTCACTTTTTTACCAAAAATATTTGGCTTATGAACGAGCATATACAGTATAAAATGTCCTAGTAACATCTCCATTTTGCCTCTTTCCTGCTCTAACCTCTGGACTATGAACTTATACTAATGGGAACAGTCTAACCAAGGGAGTGAGGACCTTCCAACCATTTGGAAGCAACCAGAGACTTAACAAGCCAGCAGTTTATGCCATCACTGCTTCAAGCCTGATTCAAGAACTTGGCAATTATTGTATGTATTTGATTCCTTTAAACAATTTGAACTCTCACCTCTTTCTTTTCTCTTATAATTAACATTTAGATTTTAGATACTAAAGGATTGGCAACAGAGTGATTATTGGGTAAGATCGGAGTTATATATTGACTTCGGTACATGGCTGGTCCTTTGGTTGATGAAATTGGTCTTAAATAACCACTCATCATTAAGTCTAGTGTCTGACTGTTGAATCCAAAACTGGAATACTTAAGGAGGCTGCATTTCTGACTTCTTGTTACCCAGTTTGGTGAGACAGAAGTTTACTTTTGTTTCTGGTTTGGTATATCTTACAGAAGAATAACCACCAGTTTTGGGGTGTGTCTGTGCTACTTCTCAGCAGTTTGTCCTGAATATGGTATTTTCAGATGTGATGGCAACTCATCTGGACAAGCTGCCGGATGACAGAGATGCAAATGGTTCGAACAGCACTAAAAGTTACTACATGGTAATTAGTAAAAGTATTAAAGAAAACAAAATGTTTGAATAGCCCTACAGTTTTTCCTGGTGTTTATCTCCCTTGCAGATTCTCTGATGATAGATAAGGGCTGAGTTTCAAGTGAAGCTTTTCCCACACACAAAGCATTCATAGAGTTGCTCACCTTTGTGGATTTTCTGATGCGTAATAAGGTGTGAGCACCGAGTGAAGCTTTTCCCACACTCACAGCATACATAGGGTCTCGCCCCCGTGTGGATTCTCTGATGTGTAGTAAGGTCTGAGCTCTGAGTGAAAGTTTTCCCGCACTCACAGCACTCATAGGGTTTCTCTCCTGTGTGGATTCTCTTATGTCTAGTAAGGCTTGAGCTCTGTGTGAAGCTTTTCCCGCACTCACAGCACTCATAGGGTCTCTCGCCTGTGTGGATTCTCTGATGTGTAGTAAGTTCTGAGCTCCGAGTGAAGCTTTTTCTACACTCGCAGCATTCATAGTGTTTCTCTCCTGTGTGGATTCTCTGATGCGTAATAAGATGTGAGCTCCGAGTGAAGCTTTTCCCGCACTCACCGCATTCATAGGGTCTCTCCCCTGTGTGGAGTCTCTGATGCGTAGTAAGGTCTGAGTTCTGAGTGAAAGTTTTCCCACACTCACAGCATTCATAGGGTTTCTCACCTGTGTGGATTCTCTGATGCGTAATAAGTTGTGAGCGCCGAGTGAAGCTTTTCCCACACTCACAGCATTCATAGGGTCTCTCTCCAGTGTGGATTCGCTGATGTATAATAAGGTCTGAGCTCTGAATGAAGGTTTTCCCACACTCACAGCATTCATAGGGTTTCTCACCTTTGTGGATTTTTTGATGCGTAATAAGGTGCGAGCGCCGAGTGAAGCTTTTCCCACACTCACAGCATTCGTATGGTCTCTCCCCCATGTGGATTCCATGATGTTTTAAAATGGCTGAGCAGTGACTAAACTTTTTCCCACATTCAGTGTGTGTATTTTTACTCTTTCCCCCAAGGGTTTTCTGGTGGGCCGTGGTTTCCTTGAGGTCCTTCTGAGTGCCCCAAAAATAAATTAATTTACCCATTTTCTCCTCTGGCTGGTTTCCCTGCTCCCTCTCTGGTTTGTGCTGAATCTCACAGGATTGTCCCTCCTCATGACTCCTGGACACATCCCCTTTGGATCTTTGCGATAATGCTCCATGTGATTCCACTTGCTCAGCATCTTCCTGCTGAGAATTCTGCGCCTCATTCTCACTCACCATCGCCTCACCTGCTGGGACAGAGAGAGAAACCTCAAACAGGGATGGAAAAGGGAAGAGCAAACCAAAATAAGTGCTGGAGAGGTGTCAAATAAAAATCAGAAACTGAATTTCCCCAAACTTCCCCCAAAGGGGAGATGGGAGGAAATCAATTCTGCCTTCATATCCCATCCACATTCTCAGTGGGAAGGGAGGAAGCTACTGTGAGGTGTCAGGATCTGTAGGAAGCTGTGAGCTATATCTTCCTTAGGGATATGACACTTGCTGGGGACAATCCTGAACTCATAGCTCCCAAAGCCTTTGTAGGGAATCCCAGATGTTTTCTTCAGGCACTTACACATTCTGAGTAGGTTTCATGTTTCCTCACCTGTGCAGGGACCTCTCAGGATCTCTCTTTCCTCTGAACCATGGAGGTCTGGGACCCACGGCTCTTCCCTTTCTTCCAGCTGGGAGATCACATCAGGTTTGGAAACTGGAAAGCCTGTTCAGATGAGAGAAAACAAATGAGATCAGGTGAATTCATAAGACTTTGTCACAAAAAATAGTCTATTAATTGAACTCCAGTCCTTAGTAAACCAGTGAAATCCCAGGGCCAGCTCCCCAGGTCCTCAAAGGTGCAGAACACTTTGCTTATGAGGGATTGAACTACCCACATATTGGCTGGGAATACGCACAGACAGACACTGTGAAAGTTTGTAACCCTATATTCACTCCTCAGCAAAATTATGATATATTTTGTACAATATATACTTTGTGAGGTATCATTTGAACATTATCGTCCTGTTAAAATATGTAGCAACACTGTACGTAGTTATGAGATTTTACTGTATGATGTTACTGAGAATGTTACAATTCTGGAGAGCCGCCACAGACCAGTTCCTCAGAGATAGTAAAGCTCCCACCTGGTCAAATGGCCATTCTCTGGCAGGAGAAATGTGTGAACAAGAAATTTACATTCCATCACAGGGACAGCTTGAAGCTCACATCGACAACACATGGAGCCTGTCACCATGATTCAGCTGAAAATTGAAGATGTTTCTAGTACAAAGGACTGAATTATAAAAAGCGGTGAGGAAAAGGTTTGAAATGCACTCTCTCCCCTTTTCTCTCTATTCATGATATCAACAACACCTGAAGAACTGAACTGGTGCAGGAGAGGGGGTTGGGGCAGTCCTGGCTGAAAGGAAAGCCAGACTGTCACAACATGTGGTGAGAGAAAGAGATTTGCTTTGAATTCATTTCAGCTTGTTAAGTTAGACGTTCGTTTGCGTTTCATCTTTTATTTCTTTTGTAGCCAATTCTAACTTTTATGCCTCATTACTTGTAGTCACTTAAAATCTTTTCTTTCTGTAGTTAATAAACAAGTTTTATTGCTCCATCTAACCAGTGTGTTTAGATTAAAGTGTGTGGGGAAACTCCATTTAGGATAACAAGGCTGATGCATGTCATTTTCCACTGATTAAATGATAGACTTTATACGAGCTTGTATTGTTCAGTCACGTGCTGCACATTTCTGGGGAAAGTCTGGGACTAGAGAATTTGCTGGTGTTCTCCTGGGGTGTAATTCATGAGTGGCTGACTAGCAGCACTCAATACTGGTTAGCTGGGAGTGAGTTACATGCTGGAGACTGTGTGTTAACTGGCCAGGAATGGCTGTTCTCTCAGTCCATGTTGGAGAACTGAGGGCACACATCTGTTCAACAGTTCAGATTGTACCCTGGGTAAAGTCACAGACACTCATCATCAAAGTCTCCTAAAATATAGAGAAGCTAAATCCATGTCCCAGAAAGTGAAGACTCCAGACAGAGGGAAAGTCTCCCTGGAACTGCTTCTTGCTGACAAAGAGGTCCAGAGACAATGAGAGAGTCCTGGAGAAGCTGGGAACAGTCAGCATGGGCTGGTGGGGTTCGGTGGAGTAAGGAACAGAAAGGGCAGGTATATTACTGAATGCAGGATCTCAGCAGCGTTGAAGGGCAGGAAAGCACATATTGCGGCATTAGGGAATCTAGGGAGTCCGGTGTAATACAAGGGAGTATGAAAATCCCTGGGTGTGGAGAACACTGGGAAATTAGAAGCTATAATTCAAGAGCAACAGACTCTAATTTGTCTGAAAAACCGGAATGTGAAAAATAAGAATCAGGCCCCATGACTTCAGGGATTCAAGAAGCCTGCAGAGAACAGACATTGTGGCTACTGCAGATGGGGATAGGGGAGCAAGACTCTCCGTGTCTCAAGAAGTTTCACTACTCCGCTAAGCCATTTTTTCATTTTGGAGTGCAAGCCAGATGAGTGAGGAGTTGTGTCATCTATAACCCTGGGTGACTTTCAATGTTCTGCTGCTGTAGCTGCCTTTTGTGGATGCTCCCAGCCAGCATTCAAGGACGTACTGAGTGTTGTTTGATAAGTGATCCTGGACCAGCAGCTCTGATTCCATCAGCCTGCTTGTTACACCCTGGCACATTCTGGCTTCCACCAGCCTTAGATACACCTGGCAAGAGATCGCAACACCCCCACTCCTGAATTTTCCCAAAACCATGTGCTCCGCCATGACTATTTTTCCTGGACCATTCAGAGTAACAAAGATTGTTTGCTTCTCAAAAGAGACACATGGCCCATCTTATCACTTTAACTGGAGTTAGCTATCATGTGAATTAAAAGACAGCAGTGGATTCGTTTAGATTAAAAGTATAACAAGTTTAGTAACACAAGCATTTAAAGTGAGTTCAAGCATAAATGAGAGTCAGATATGGTTACCAGGAAGTGAAAGTGAACAATGCTTTCTAGAGACTAGGACCTAACAAAACTACAGTCCTGGTTCAAGGTAAGATTCTTACCACACTACTTTCCAGCAAGATAGCAGCCCACCCCCTTGCCCAATATTTCCCTCAAATCCAAAGTGCTTGGTTCCTTTGTCTTAAGTGAAAGATAGAGTCAGAGAATCCCACGTTCTTTTGTATACTTCAGTGAACCTTTACAAAAGGGTGTTTTCTGAAGGGAGTTTTCTGGAGGTTCCCCTCCAAAGTAAATTTCATTCAAGCTGAGGAAGGAGGCCTGGAGTCTAGTGATGAAGGAAGTTCCATGCTGGTTTCTTCTCCTGCTGGTGTTTGCTAAAATGGAATTTGGACTGTTCCTGAGATATCCTCCCCTGCCATGATGCTGAGTGGTTACCTCTGCCCCTTGTAAGTATGACAGGTTTGTTTTTTGTTTATGTAAATTGCATTCCCATTGTCTCTTAATGTACCCTGAAAGTGCCTTCAAGGTGGCAGAACCACCTGCCTTTGTCTAGGGTGGGGTAACTTCAACCCTGTCTGGCAGACACACTTTAAGAACATCATTCCCCAGCTATCTGTAATCTTGCCTTTATCCTCTATACTTACACCATGCAATAATATTAATGAACATCATGTCAGTAGCTTTCTGTTGATATCTTTCATGACACCTTTTCAATACAGGTGAAGACATTAGTGTGTTGGGGTCAGGCCAGCTGAAACTCACTATCAGATACCATGGAGCCCCTTCCCCCGGGATGCTGGGAGGGTCACAGACATAACCAAGGAAGTGCATATTTGTGCCAGGCTGTGCTGGGTAAGCACAGTGGATACACAGGACGTTGTAGCCCCGGTCTAGTCTAGGAGCAGGATAGTTGCAGAATTCCAGTCTCGGAGAGGAAAAGGCAGGAGGCCTGACACCTGCGGGTGGAGGGGGGAGCACTGAGAGAAAGCAGTGCCAGGGGCAGGGTGCAGCTAGCCTTCTCACTTATTATGACACCCACTCCCCTTCATCCCACTGCTCTCACCCCTCTCCACCTTCTTCAGCCCCAGGAGCACCTGCTCCTTGTGTTCTGTCCTCCCCCCCCATTGCCCGCAGCCTTCCTCACTAGAGCTTCCCCCAAATTTCCCGCTGCACAGCCACTTTCCGTCTCACCTTCCCACTGCCCC